TTACAATTCTTATGTAAAGTATCAGCTATTTACTATTCCATTAGTCAAGAAACTATGCATCTATGTTAAGATGAATTTATGAAGCTTTAATATCCTTGCTCATAAAATTCTGTCCCTTTTTTATTGATCATTTGGGCAGTTTGGAAGAAGTGTGCAGGGAAAGATGTTTTCCCAGAGTTCCCTTTTTCTTTTTCAAAGTCAAATTATTTGATCACCATCTACAAAAATAAGCAGCTTGACTTTAGGGAAACTGAAACCAAGGTCACAGAGTTTTCATAGAGGTAGGAGGACAGCCTTAGAGCATCTGCTTTCTTTGTGTGGAGCAGGAAGGACTGGCTGTAGCAGTGCTGCAAGACTGATGTTATCCGTAGTCCTGTCATTAATTAGAAGCCCCAAATAGGATGCCAATAAGAGAGAAAACTTTGTTTGAAACGTAGAATCAAGTGCCACTTGGGAGTATACCAGATAACAACCAGCACCTCCCTCTGAATACATATTGCTCTGCTCACACTGGTTTACACTGGTTTAATGGATGAGAAACCTCGGAAAATCAGCACACCTTGTGATGATACCTGGCAGGTATAGAAAAAAAGCGTGCCATTCGATTTCGTAACCTATTTAGTACTATCCGATTTATTTACCTATTCAGCACTAACATGCTTTGGAAATAAGGCATACAATATAAGACAAATTGTTCTTACATATCTGGTTATATCCTGTTTATGTCTGAATATCTTAATAAGATTCCTGAGCCATTCTTGGCAAAACTTAGGCAGTATTTTAATAAATTGACATACTGTGAATTTTCCATTGGTGTTACTGATAAAAGTCTGAGACCTTTAAAATTAAGGAAGTCTTTCTTGCTTAAACACCTTTATGTGTATTAATGTGGCTCCTAATTGGGTGTCCAGGTGTTCCATGACTTCGAATGGGGGTATAGCCTTTCCTAAACGTACCTGAAGTTGAAAATGTGTGTAGAAAATCAAGTCCATACACCAGACCCAGGGAACATCCAGTGTAGCAGCAGTGCAGAGTATCAGTTGTTCACCCCCACAATCATGAGGCCAGCCAGAGCTGCCCCTCCATGTCGCTGCCAAGCGTCAGGAGACAGTAAAATCCACCTGCTGCAGGCAGTGGGAAGTATCTGGACCTGAACACTTACTTCTGCCGGATGTGTAGAGTCAAACCATTGTTAGGCCAAACGACTGTAAGCTGGGGACTGTGGAAACATTAATGTCACAACCTGTAGCACAAAGAGTAATGCTGTTGGCTACTAGACTACTACAGCAAAGTGTGTAAAACTTGGGCTGAAGGGTTGTTTGGGGGATTGAGAGTCAGCACACACATGGATTCCCAGGCAGTGATAGATAGTGTGGAAATTATCAGAAGCCTTTATTTTACCCTGCGGCCCAGGCCTTTCACGTAAACCTAAAGAAATTTGTTTTTTCCTACGTGGTTTTTGAAATTATCTTTGGCAAGTAAATATAAATGTACAGCACTTTCTCATGAATGACGTGAAAGAATTTTTGTCTCCCAGTCTGACTTACATTGGTCTTTTAAATAACACCATTGTTAATATGGAATCTTAAGTATTCCCTGCGTTTTTAAAATACTCATTCTTGTTCATTCACCGTTTTGCAGCAGCCATGCTGTTCTCTTCATAGTGATGAGATTGGTCAGAATCTCATTAAACCGAGGAGGCAGTAGCAGTATGGTTTGAGGGGTGCAGTCCCAGGATAGAATGTGTATGATCTGAAGACCCCAGGTTCTGGCTCTGTTCCCTGTGGGGGTAGGGATGCATCGCAGAGTGGGCAATTCCTAAGTTGAGACGCTGAATGAGTAATTTCGCTTCCAGTAAGACAAAAACAGTACTTTGAGGGGAAAAAAAGTTCATAATTTAAAGAATCTGTAAAGCACTGAATTCAGTACCTCAGGTTTACTTCTGTACCTTTTTATCCTCTTCCTTTGTTTGGTGGTCATGTGTTCTTACTTCAGAGCTTCCTCCCTTCCCTTTTTTTCTTTTGCTCAATGGGAACATCTGTTTTCTTTATCTGTGAGACTACAATTTTATATCAGTGGACAACAGATGCTAACCATTAAGAGGATTGCTGTAGGTGACAGGCTAATGTCCTTAACTTAGAAACACTTTTGTGACCAGAGTCTGAGTACGTCTAAAAGACTTTGCCATCTGAGATTATTTGTTTAAAGTTTAGAGTCTTTTAACTCCCCAGAACAAAGTTGTATATATCATGGATTGCATACTTCAAAATGGTTTTCATTTGTAAATGGTTTCAAACACAAATGCGTATATACGCACTCCACTTTAATAATAGATATGTTTCAAAGTGCCGTTTTATCTTCTATTTTGAAAAAAAATTCGAACATACAAAGGTAAAAACAGGGTAAGATGAGCCTCACCATACTGGGTGGTTTAACCCCTCCCCACCACCTGCATACTGAGAAGCTGGTCTGGGGCGCCAGAGCTCTGTACTAAAATGGATCTTCAGGGGAGGGAGGAAATAGGTGATGAATCAGGGATCCCCCAGTTAGCTAGATGGTCCGCAAGAAGCTGATAAACCCCCTTTGCAGGTTTTTTCCTAAGCATTTTATTAGTACAGTTTTGCCTAGTACAGTAAGTCTGTGCATTATTCCTTGAACATACAAACTCCTCCTTGTGGGGGGATTGCCCCCATGTGATTCCGTCTCTTTGTGGAGCCGGCCCATGTTTTTGCCCATTTGAATTGTGCCCTTTATGGTTTGACCCACTCTGTTCTGCCTCCTCCTGGAATCTTTTCCTTTTGAAAACAGTCTTTGTCCGGGGCCTGAAGCTGCCACTCGCACGAGCCACAGTGCTGGCTGTGGGGCTGTCCCCCTTGGTGTTTCCTCTGCAGCAGGAGGGTGATGATAATGCCTGCCTTGCGTGTGTGGATGCTGTGCTAGGCGAACCTTGGGGGCTAGCAGTGGCTGGCTTTACCTGTAAACGCGTGTGGTGGAGGAATCCTGCCAAATACCTGTGTAAATTCCAGTATCTAGACTCACTCCTTCACATTTAGGCATTGTGGCTACCAGGAAAGGTGCTTCGCATTCCATGAAGTTTTGCCCTGTACTATTTCAAAAACATGCAGTGTGGCCTCAAAGAAAAAAAGGACAGAACCTCAAACTGGACACACACACACAAAAAAGATATACATGACCTGTACAAGACAAGCATTGAGAGATTCTGTTGTTTTCCATCTAGAACTGATCAGTATCACTGATCAGTTATCACTCGTTTTCATGGGTTCGAAGTTAAAATCCAATTCAATTACAAACCAAGGCATGTTCAACGTTATCTTTCCTGTATCAATGAAGACATTAATTTGCATAGAAAAGTATTCAAGTGATCACTGAAGATCATATTTATTGTTTTTAGACCATAAGACTAACAGTGGGAAATTTTAAGAAATCCAGAAAAGCTGAGAATTAGAAACTATTTTAGAGGTAATCACCCATTTGTTTTATTACGTGTGCATTTTACCTCTTTCCAGTAGCTTGTACATATTTATGATGATAATACGTAAAACATTGAAGAAAATGTTTTCATGACTTCTCACAAGGCTCATTCTTAAGATCTCCTTTCTGCTTTTTTCATATAAACTAATAATTCGTTGCCACGGGATTCACTTTAAATGTGTATGTCCACACAGACCTGTGCCTTCCAGTAAAGCCACACGGGAGGCCTCTCTTTTTCGTGTGTGTGTGTCCAGTTTGAGGTTCTGTCCCTTTTTTCTTTGAGGCCACACTGCATGTTTTCGTTCTGCTGCCTGTCATACTCGCAGTCTTTTTCTCCTTTGTCTCTCCTCTAGTGTGAGTGATAGCGTAATTATGAACATTTATTTCATTATGCTCAACAGGTACCTAGCCACCTTCCTCAATTCCCTTAAGGTCTCCGGTCATGTTGGGGCTTTTCAGGTGAACAGTCATTTGCAAGATGCAATGTGACCTTTTTCTGTTTCTTACAATTCTTATTCTTTGTCTTATTTCTGATTTTTCCCCTGTAGGAAGTACTTGTCGGTTTATTAAATAGGCATATTGCTGGCTGCTATGTACGACTGACCTATTTTGTCTGCCTATCATGGAAATGTTACCCTTTATTGTAAACAGTAATGTTCCTGTGCTTTCTTCAAGCTCCTTTGTATATTCAAACATCTCTTTGTTCTGTGCCAAGTTCAGGGACTTAGCAACCGAGAGTTTGATACTATAGCTATACCCCTCAGAATGGGTGGTAGAGTGTTAGTTTGCTATGAGAAATGGAAAAGAAAGTTTTTGTGACTTAGGAGGGGAGAGCCAGGTAGAGTCAAAGAGGCCTCCTTGAAGAGGTGATAGACAGGTTGAGCTGATGCTGAGAAGGGTGTCCCTGCTTCCCTATTGTGTTTGGACTGGAAGGGGTGCTTTGTTGTGTTTGACTGGAAACGCACAGGTTCCCACAGCTCCTGTGCTAACTTTTAGAAGAGGGAGTGAACTGTTAAAGAATGAAGAACTGAAAAGTCAACCGCGGAAAACAAAAGCAGGTGCTTTTCTTTCAGCAGTGTTTAATAGTCTAGTATTGCGCAGGGCATGGAACGTGAGCTCTTACCTTTAAAGCATCCTTGTCCCCGAAAAAGTTCAAAATTGAAAGAAACTTTAGTCACCATTCAATCTTTCTTCCAAACAGCAAGGTCGGGGACGTCTGCCTACGTGATGTACTACTCAGCTACTGTCAGCTATTTTAAATTCGTGACATTTTTCAAATTCTTGAATTTATATTTTCTGTTGCCATCTCCTGCTTTCCCTGGCCCAGAGCAGAGAGAAAAAAATACCCCCTTTAGAGCCCTGCATTATTTTGGTTTTAAGTGTAGTTGGACACATCATTCTGTTTGCCCTTTTAAAGAAATAAAAGCATGATTCTTAATGTGGAATTGTTTGATGTTATTTTATCAAGGTAGTTTTCTTATGATACTAATTTTTTTTTCTCTTTTTAGTCTGCCATTTTCAATTTTCAGAGTTTGTTGAGTGTAATCTTGCTGCTTATATGTACCTGTGCTTATATACGATCCCTGGCACCCAGCATCCTGGACAAAAACAAAACTGGGTATGTGACTCATGATGTCTGATCACCCAAATGAGTTTCTGTAGACATAAAATCTAAATAAAAGTCACTACAGAATGTAATCCTATTTGTAATGCAGGTGGTGGCAGATCTTTTTACATTATTTGCTCCCTGTTTTTAAAATTCAAATCAATAAATAAAATTCCAAAGCCTTTATATTCACAATATCTTACTAAGTGAAAACAATAAGTCTCAGAAGTGACCTGGAATTTAATGTATTGGAAAAATGCATATGAAGGATTTTAACCCAGTGAAAATGAAAAAGATTATCCATCAGTTATACAACTAAACCCCACCTTTGTAGGCATTGTCTTCACTATGCCACCTTTTTCTCTCAACTCCTATTGTACTTATTCTTCAGTACTTTATTATTGAACAGTTTTCTGGGATTTATCTGTATAATAAAATCTTTAAGGATCTGTGTCACTACAGAATATCCCGTAGTAGTAGAATAGCACATTAGTACTTTTCCAGTGCTCCAAAGAACATAAAATATTCTTCCCAAAGGAGGCAAGTTGCATGTTGGACGTGTCTGCCCCTCCTTGCTTTGGGAGTAGAAATGCATCCGTAACATGCTACATGAATAAAGGAGTTCTCAGGGCTGCCAACCTTTCAGTAGAGGTTGCGTGGTAGTATAGTTCTCCTACATAAAAAGGATGCCAACTTATACACTTCAAGATATAAATTAATAAACTATTAGAAAGCTTTTTAAAAATCTTTGTTTCTGCTTACAAATGTTAAGCACCATTTTATTTTGATTTGCATGTTAGTGTTGTATACAAATTTTTACAGACTCCGTCTCTGTCCTATTACAATTACATGTTTTTCATGAGATTCACCATAAACTTTTACTATATATGCTTAGGTGATATGCAGACAGATTGAATCAAACAAGTTCTTGATGACTTCATTAATTGGGCTACCTTCATGTTTTTCTATTTCACATTGTACATGTACAGCTTAGCAGCTGCTTTTGTCTCTTTTCTAGTTTCATAGCCCTCGTAGCACTGATCTGCAGATTTTCTTAACTGATACATAGCCATAGAAACAGGTTAAATGTATTGGTTTTAGCAACTAATAGTGCCAATTTTTTAATAGACAGCATTTAGGATATTATAGAAATACTAGGTCTCAGTAGAAGACTATGTCAAAAAAGCTAAAGTGGTACTGTCTCTTGAGTTGCCACGTTAGAATTTTTTGATTCATTTAAAAGCTTTTAATATACTTCTATGCCAATTTCTTGATAATGCTTTGTTATTTCTAGAGTATTAGCCCTGGAAAGGCTTCTATACATTATCCACTCGTGTATTCCTCTCCTTCAGGATGGATGCCAATATTAAAAAGAGAAAAGATTAGACTTAAGCATTGTCTGACCTTTATGTTAGCTTAAATTCATTATGTTGTCTATATAGTCTTTTTGTACCTATAGTAAAATTATTTTGCCTCCCAGATAGAATGTCTGTATTTTGATATAAGCTTGTATTTTTCTTCATTCCATTTAATCTCAACTGAAGAATATACAGAGATCTTAATTAAATGGATATTTTCCTCTACTCCTAACTCTTCTGGCAAAATAATTGATTAGTCAAAGATTTCTTGGGGATGATGATGTGTAAACTTCTTGAGCTAATCCTAGTATAGCAGCAAATCATGCAGACCCATCTGAATGTGTAACCATGTACAGTACCCCTTATTATAAAGCTAGTCTTTTGTTAAACCAACAAAATAGTATCTACAAGGTTTATATAGATATCAGTTCATTCATGATTGAATTGGGTTTTTGCAAAGCTGTAAACTCATTCACTTAGTTTCACCTATGCTAGGAAACTTTTCTTATATTAATAACAGTCTCACATTTTTCTCTTTCTCCTACTGATACAAATAAGTAGGATACTGTCCCTATAGTTCATGATTATAGTTTATTTAAATACATGCTATATGCTGTAAGAAATTTTTAGTATGATCCAAAAATTTGTCCAAATTTGTGTTCATATATCATTTTTCAAAATTAATATTCAATCAAGTTGGCATGTAAACTTCCTGCTTTTGAAGGCAGTAAAGCAAAGTTGACTAAATTAACATAGCAAGCCTTTATGAAAAACTTTTCTGTTCATATTAATTTAACCTGCTTTTGTCCCGTAATACCACATATTTTCCAATTACCAGTAGTTAACATTACTGTTATGTATTATTTTCATGCATGGCTCAACATGAAACAAGCAGATTTCAAATTTGAAGCAAAGCATCAAAGGTTAAAAGGGCAGTGTACAGTTCATTTGCTATGTGATGCTGACATAATAAAACTTTCCCAGTCATCAATAGCCACTTTTTTCCTTTTTCATTCTTTGCAGACTATTGGGAATATTTTGGAAGTGTGCCAGAATTGGTAAGTGCCCTCAGTTTCCCTCTATTTCACCATCTATAAAGTGTCAGCCAGTTCCTTTCTGTAGACTTGTACAAACCAAGCGACAGCTTCAGAAAAACATTATCCCCGGAGATTTCAGTGCTTCTAAAACTTAGATTGTCCTGTGATCTTTGTCCTGTGATCTTTGTCATGCTTCATTCTTTCTTACAGAGATGGGCATAGGAATCTTTGTTTTTAGCTGTGAATGAGTGCTGAGGAGCTCAGATGAGTGCTGATTAACCAGGGGCCTGGTTAGAGCCTAACGACAGTTTCGATTGTCCAAACTACAGTTGGGAGCATACAGTGGGTTTAGGTCAGGGATGCTGCCAAGCACCCTAGGGTGCTCAGGGCAGAATTATCCGGGCCAGGACGGCAGTAGTGTCTCTAACGAAGGAGGCGTGGCCTGAATTTAGAGATAATGTGGTATGGGCTTAGCTGACGCCTGGTAGCGCGCAACAACTGCAAACCCAGAAATCACAGGAGAAATCTTAATCGCTTCCAAAAGAACCAAGAAGAGAAAGACAGAGAACAAAGAGCACCTGGGACAGTTAATGCTGGCAGCTAACGGTATGTGTAAGGTGGGGTTTAAACCACACTGCTAGCTGCAGTGGCTGCTCACCCCAGATACCAGAAAACAGAACTGTGCCTGGACAGCACCAGGCAGAGGGGCACCCCAGGTAAACTAGAGAAAGCGGATAAGCTGACCTTGAGCTAGGGGACTGAATTCCTGTCTCAGTTACTATGTTAAGTTGCTTACTACTAAAGGGAATACTAAGGTATTTTAAATCCATTTTATATAACCAATCAAAGTGTACAGTTCCATTCAGTAGCCAGCCCAAGGGAACCTTTTTTGTTTATAATTATTACTTGAAAAGTTTAACACCTCCAGTTCATAGATATCTTAATGATTTCCTAAAATACGACCTGGCTTTTTGTTTCATTATACATGTAAATACTGTAGGGGGAATGGAGTGACTTGTTGTTGCTGCTTTATTTGCTTGCTTACTTATCATTCCCATTTTACTCCTTGACAACATGTCCTAGGTTGAATGGTTCCATTGAACTGTTCATTCTGCCAATTAAATGAATGCAATAGGTTTTCTTTTGGCAAAGTAACTTAGAAAACCTTGCTGCCCGCATGCTGCTCTGCCAAGTACAGGCTCCTCTTTTCCTTGACCCAGGATCCATCCACCAAGGGTGCCACGCTAAGGGGAGCGACCTAGCCTATCATCTTACCGCATTACACATCGCCTTACAGCAACCATTTCACATCCACTTAACACAGCCCCAAGGCCAGATGGGAAGTAACGTTCTTACCCAAGTTCAGCCAGCTCTACCACATGGTAGTCTCTTTTAAGAAAATTAAAAACAGGAAAATCAAATCCCTATGTAAATTAAAGGATTCTAAGTCAGAGGCTGAGGAAGAGAACTTCCTCAGGAATTAATTTTTAGCAGATGGAAAACTTAAAGACAGTACTAGTTGCTTCCTTTGTGTTTTTAATGAGACTGTCCTTGACAGTGAGGAAGTCCAGCCCCAGTGAGGGCTACACACCTCCTTATGAAATCTGTCTGAAATCTATGTGCATTGGGGTTTTGTGTGATCCCTTGCTGTTTTACCTCCAGAGAATTGAAATTGTTTGAAGATTTCTTTTTCTAGCTGAAATAATGGCATAGTGAAAACACTTTGTATCACTTTCTGTTTTCTTTTATCTGGAATGCAGTCCATTAAACATAGGTAGATTTTTTTTTTTTTAATTTCAGAAACAACAGCACACATGTGCCTCTTCATGGGCATAATATTCTCTGTGACTGTCATCATGGGACAGACACAAAGATGCAGGCTTACTGACAGCCCCAGTAGTTTGAGCTGCTCAGTAAGGAATCCTTGAAAATGACTAGAGAATTGTAGGGAGTGAAGATGGTCAGCACTGACATTTCCAGCAGTTGTTGGCTGAACTCATTATGGAAAATAAGGGTCTTACTCACTAGGAAAAATTTTAAACATCATAGTAGAGCATTTGTGAGGAGATCATGAACTGTCTCTACTATAGGACACCAGATCCTTTTCAGGGTTGTTTCTAGGTGCAAATTCATGCTTTGTCCTTTCATGTTTGCCTGATGCCTCCTGAATTAGCACAGCCTCTTAAAATAAAGAAAAAGGCTGAGTTGAGTTTCGTTAGCTCACATCACAGATCTCTGTGTGCAGGACCATTTCAGAAGCTGACTTCAGGTCCACATCACTACACAAAGGAAAGACCTAATGCAGGCCCTCCTTTAGCACAGGCGACGCCAGCTCTCACAGAAGGGGTTGTTTTCAGGTCTACATTTTTAACCCAGAGTAATCATATTATTAGGTTGGGCATTCCTAATCTGATAATACAAATTCCTCAGAAATTTAAGATTTTTGAGCATGGATATGATACTAAAAAAGTTTCAGATTTTGGATGATTTCAAGTTTTCTGATTAAAGAAGTTCAACCAGTGATTCCATGTAAATACTCCAAAATTTGAAAAATACTGAAACTTGAAATAATTATCCTTAGGGTAATTATCCTTTGGGTAAGAAATACTCAATGTATAGATGACTTAGTACTATAACTCAGAAATACTATAACTCAGGAAGTGTTCGTTAAGCATTTTGAGTCCATTTTTAAGTACATCCTGCTGTTACTGTCCATGACGGCTTTCTCTCCCTTCTCCTTCTAAGGGTCATAAATGCTCCCAGTGTTGAAAAATAGCTAAATAATACATATTTTGTACAAATAGAAGCTGCTTTTATGGGGTGATGATACACTCTTAGGCTTTGAGTTACTGAAAACCTTTTTCCTTGGACCTCTGTCCTACGTGCTCTTTGCTTATTTTTAGTGGCTGAGCTTAACAGCAGCGGCACCTTTCATGTTTTCTGCATACCTGCAAAGGAGGTGCTCTCAGAAATAGACGAGTGTGGTTTAGACCATTCTGTTTTGAATATGGTGCTTGATTACTTCCAGTTCTTTGTTTCTCTCCTCCCTCCCAGTTTTTTCACCTCATAGGCAAGACCTTTACCTTGAATGTGTATCTCCGTCCCCTAATATTAACCTTATCTCCTGGTGGTCACTTGTTAATCAAGATGAATCTCTCTTTGTCACCAGGTGAACGAAAGAGTCCTTATGTTGCAATATGCTGTGTCGTGATGGCCTTCAGCATCCTCTTCATACAGTAGCTCGGGGAAATGCCAGAGTTCGATTGCTGTGGATTTCAGTGTGAACAAGGACCTGCTTGCAGAAAATAATGGAAAGCAGTGCTAGCCCTATTATCTCTGAACACTGAGGGAGATAAATTTCCAGATGCTGTTCTCTATTTTTATGTTACTGGACCAATGTTCTATATAAGTAATTAAGATGTAAGCATTTATACGGAAAGAATTCAGTAGTCTTTAGCAATTAACCTCAACACTGTCACTACAATGTTACATTCTGCAAATGTTATTGTGTCATGTCAGATACCAGTTTTAGTAAGGTATCTTTAAGCAACAAAATCAGTAAATTACTCGAGTTCCTTTCTTTGTGATTTGGAATCTTACTCTTTATAAAATGAGCCTCTTTTTTGTACTAGCTTTTTTATGAAGCAGTGGTTTCGTTTTGTGTTGGTTTGATTTCATACTGAACAGTACTCTCTCTCTCTGGCCACAGCATTTTCCTCGTCAGCCAGAGTACCTCTACTTTTAGCAAATTCTCTAATACGTTATTGGCGATAGAAATATTTATACAGTTCTTAAAGGAGGAAGATGAATGAGATGTGACTTAAAAGCAGTACAGGGAAAATGTTCCTTAGCGGAAGGAGACTTAGACTAGCCAGTGGACATTGCAGCCTCTGACGCCTCCTGCCGAGTACCGACACAGGCTGCCTGCCAGCAGGAAGCTGGGTGCTTGGCTGACATTCTCTGGGAAGACAATGCTTTCAGAGTGAAAGAGCAAAACGGAGCAGTTACAGAGCGAGAAGCCAATACTTGGCTTATATTTATAATCTCAGGATCTCAAAATACAACACTTACTTCAGTTGCCCCAGAACAGACAAAGTTTTGTTTTATTTTTAGTAGAGCACTTTAACGCTAGCGTATGCTGCCACCTTGGACTGGACTCTTGGTGACCGTGGGTGGGCTCCTTGCCTCGCTCTGTGTGTGAGGGCATACATGTCTTGAAGGCCCAGCAGGTTTTGTCTAGACGAGAGAAATCCTGAGAATATGACTTCTGATGTTTACAACAGAGTTGTTATAAGTTTCTAATTACTATTTTTTAAGATTTACCTGAAATTGTTACTATTTCAAAGCTAAGAGGAAATTAAATCTTAGCTAAAAATTAAACACTACAGGTAGTATTTACTGCATATTATTATTTTCAATTAAAGTTCCTATGAAGGTTAAAAGAAGAAATGCACTTTTCTTTTTAAAGAAAGAAAATTCATTAGAATTTATTTTTAATCTCAGTAGCAGTTTTAGTAAAGAATATGAACTGGAAGCCACCAATCTTTCAGACCTTTCAACAACTTGGAGATTTCTAGAAAACTTCTAGTAAAGCATTGGTTTTCCCTAAAAAGAGCTGTTGTAGGCTGTTGGTGTGTCTGTCTTACCTTTTTGATATGTCTGTGGGAGTAAGAAGTGGTGAGTCTTACCCCGGACAGGGCGTCCCATTAGGGTCATTGCGCCTGCGCTTCGCTGCACTGCAAGGCCCCGGGGACACGCGTCAGGCTGGGGGTTCAGAGTACCCCACAGTAGGGCTCACGTCAGCTTTCCAGCAGGTGGTGTCCGCAATGCAGGTCTGCCGCCAGCTGGGCTGCACGGGAGCTTTGTGAACTGCTTTCCCGTGCGCTGATGCAAACCCCATGAGGGGAGAGTAGGGACTCCATTGGAAGACACTGCTGTCATTTGGGGTTTCGGAGAAGGCAGGCGGCAAGTGAGTAAGAAGCCATTCCTCAGGAGCCCTCAGGGGAGCACCTAAGGCACGAATGGATGCCCAGCAGAGCAGTGCAGTTCCATCCAGCCTCATCTGACCGTGGAAACAGCAGCTCTTCGGGAGTCAGGGGAAAGGCCTGTGCTGTGGAGGCGAGCCATTAAGGATGTCTTTAGTCTCTGCGCTCTGAAGACTTACTCCTGAATCCTGCTCCATAACCCATATGGTGGGGGGGTGGCTTGAAGCGCACAGACGTTTCAGACATCAGTCTTGTTATGGAAGAGTGGGGAGGGAGTGCAGGTGGGAGGGGGTTAAAGACCACCACCCTGGGCAGCAGGTGCTTCCTCGCCGATTTGCCACCTGCCTTGCAGGCAGGGTGAACCCCGAAGTCCGCTGCTTCCTATCAGCTCTTCTGGCTTTCAGGTCTTTGAATTGTTTGGCGCCACCGTTGAGTTCTGGTGAGCTTCACTGGGCCCTCGGGGAGCCAGGTCTCCTTTCCCCTCCTAAGAGGGCAGGGACCAGGCCTAAGGCTGCAGAGCCCGGCAGGGTCTCCTTAGTGCCAGGCGCTGCCCTGAATGCTCTCATGTGATCAGAACAGCTTTCCGTTTAGGGGATAGCAGCAATGTATAATTCGTAGAAGGTGTCTTCATCTTAATACTAAGATGATTCGTTTTACCCTAGGACAAAATAGAGGATTGAATGAATTTTCCTAGTTTACAAGTCAAAAATGAACCTCCTTTTGTTTAGAAAACAAAATTGACTTACAAATAAAATATTTATATTTCTTTCAAAAGCGTTTATGGAATGCCTGTGGCCTATTCCTGAAAACAGACAAGTATACAGTTTCTTGCTCATAGGCATAAGGAAGTTGACAGATGAAATTACAGACACGCACTAGAGTGTATTAGCGTGACTGAGATAATCCCAGGACTCTACCTGAAAGTAAAGCAGGGTGACATTCAGCTGGGTGTGAGCTCACTTCTGAGAGAGCGGTGGATCCGCTGACCTGGGTGTCATGCAGAAACGTGCTGTGCTGAGGACTCAGCGCCAAGCTTGCACCGCTTGCAGCATGGTATGGTGTGAGCCAAAGGTGGGTGAAGGCAGGCCCTACAGGGCCCTGTGCTTTTCTCATTCCTGCTGCTGCCTACCTCAGCAGAAGTGGTGTCTGTTCGTCATCCTGCCTAACACATCCTGCCTAACTTCTTCAGGAAGAAAGCAGAAGCCTGGTACCACCTGCAAATAAGAATTAACATCTCCATGTCCACCTTACTCTGGAGCAGGAGCACAGTGCTCTACAGTCCAGGGGTGGGCTGGATGGGGGCGGTCACAGTGGTCAGCACACCCTGCGCAAGAGACTCAAGGATCACACCCTACATATTTTCAATTAGCAAAGATTTCTTTCTTTCCAGCCTGTGAGAAGTTCCTGAGTCCTTGCAAACTGAAAGCAAGAGTGAATGATTCTTGGGAACCATTCTCCAGGTTGACATCCGTGCAGAACAACTTTTCAGCACACATAGTTGCTGAGAGCACTGTGAATATCACACAGCCTCATCATTCCAAATCGGAAGTCACCACTAACTTCTAATAAATAGATTTATAATTGTTAATTTATGCACTGCCTTCCATTGATTTATTAACCTCGAACTAATCTCAGAATACTCTGAATCAGAAAAAGGAGATGGAAATACATTTCACTTGATTTTTGAGTTTAATCTTACTGATTAGTTCATATACGTCATGTACAGCAAAGCAAAATGAACAGCGAGAGTTTCTTTTGTCTTATTGCTACATGGGTGAAAGCTTTTGGAGGTTAAAAATTTGAAATTGTCAACTACTAAAAAAATAGTGAGGTGGGAATGGAGAAATTTCCTGAGACTTATACCTAAATTTTAACAAATGGGTTGCCAAGTAGTTTCAGGGTGGTAATGTTGCTTGCTTGCTTATTTATTTATTATTGTCTTTAAGCTGTCAAATCTATCATATTGCTCTGTTTCTTCTAAAAACCTGAAGATTCAGTGGGTTTACCTTACATTTAGTTCCCAGAGAGGTGATCAAAATCTAATCAGAATGAAAGTTGACAGTTATTATTAGTTGACAGTGTATACTTTGTTTTCAACGATGAGCCTTCAGATATTCAAGTATTATGCAAATAGCAATCCCTTTCTGTGCGAAGTGTTTAGACCAGTCAAGTACGTTAGCATGGTCTACCTACTGCACTCTTCCCAGAATTGAATTGACACAAACCGGTGTTAGCCCTATTACTGGAAAGAGTTGGCCTAACAAAGTAGATCACAGCTTTGTTATTTGGTTACTTTAAACTCAAAGAAGCTGGAGCTGTGACTAGGACAGTGGCATGTTCGATGTTCCCTTCGGTGCATGTGCTCTCTAAACCTTCCTCGCTGCTCCACTGCAGAAGCTGGGTTTCTAGCTCACGTCAGAAGAACCCACATTGGCTTTACTTTTTAGACCATTGAACTTAACATCCAAGAAAGTGAAATATGTTTTCAGTTCTGAGGGTTTACATTATGTCCTTGATGGAAACAATTTTCAAGGGGAGAAAAAGCGAAAAACGTAAACAGTAGCAGTAAGAATAAGTTGCTTCGTATACTTTGGAAGATGGGGACATACAGGAACTGTGTGGTATCCAGTCACTGCTGTTGGGACTTTATTTTACAAGGAAAGTAACCTAGGAACAAATGTGTGCGGACCTGGAGCTTGCTTTCAAAGTCCCAAAACCTGGAACTTATCAGCCACTTTCAACATACTTGATCTTATTTCAGGCTACTAAAAAAAATAGTGTGCAAAAGTATTAAACTGTTTCAAAAGAAATAAAGAAATACTTAGGACATAAAACATTTCAAGAAGGGCAGTACTGGAGCCCGGGATTTAGCTCAGCAGCACAGCGCCTGCCTGGCAAGCACAAGGTTATAAGTTTGATTCCTGGTACCAAAAAAAAAGCCAATATCCAAAAAAGACTCATTAGTATCCAAATGTTAAAGTGATTCTCAAGATCGTTCAAAATAACACCAAAAGATTTGACCTTGGAAATCATGAAAATACTGAGACTTATTAGTACTTATTAAGACTTCTGAAAAGCAAGAGCAAAATATGGTGACAATTCTAAATCCACAGTGCTAGTGACTTCATTTTTTCAATATTTCTGACCTACCTGTTTTCAAAGAAATCTAAGTCTGTTAACCAATCACAGACATTTGACATAGAACCTTAGATAGTCCCTATATCCCTATGCAATTAGTTTGATCTGCCAAGACCAGAAATAAGGGTAGAGCTCAGGACCGTCATTTGGCCACTACAAAGAATGAAAGATTAATTGTATTTCCTACGCATTAAGTAGAGTCACTCATATCTCCCATACCATGCCTGGGCACATCCTTTGGTTTGAGAGTTGGCTTGTGCCAAAAAATGCTAGGCCAGGGTATTTGGTATGAAGGAGACAGATACAGCTGTGGAATCTAGAGCTGAATACTACCCCAAACATTAGGTGAGCATGTGGAACTAGTAAGAACTCAGGAAATGAAGCTGAGGGATGACTTAGGTGGGATGATGAGAGTTCAGTCTGAGGTGAGGGTTGGGGTGAGACCTGTTTGCA